TAGATATTACATCAAGGAACTTTATGGGTATTACTGTACGAACCTGAATTTGGTGACACAGAAAGGTAAAAGGTATCGCTGTGCGTGTGTGTGTGTGTGTGTGTGTAACTCACCATGTTCCTCTTCCTGCTAGGGTCGCTGCTGCTGCTGCTGGGTGTGTTGTGGTTGTCGGAGGCTGAGCGGAGAGGTCTCCGGCACAACTCGTCTCTTTGATGGACTACAGTCTTAGACTGCAGCTTCCTGTGAAGACAACACACACATTTGTACAATTTAATGACGTCCTCTACAACAGTCCTGTAATCAGTGCTCAGTTTATTAAGCGTATCATGTTTCTAATTTAGACTCTGTGCTCATTTTCAATGCTACAATTAGTGTTGTTGCTATATTGGACTGCTGAGTTCTCTATTTGAAAAGTGTCCTCAGATAACTTTTGTTATGAATTGGTGCTATACAAATAAAATTGAATTGGATTGAATTGAATGAATGCTTTGGCTGCCTCCAGATACAAGTTCAAGTCAGAGGTGAGCATGTCTTTAACTTCCAAGTCAAAAACACACTGTTGTTCTGGGTTCAAATGAGTATCATGGCCACAAACAGGTAGAATATGTATGGTCATGTAAAGGTCAACATCCAGGTTACTTTTATTGTTGCCTGTTAACAGAAAATTGTCTTGGACTGAAGAAATTGTTTGATGAAAGACGGACATGTCACAATAAAGACATACTTAAAAGTAAACATTTAAATACATACATCACATTTATAGTACAAGTACCTTTATTGCAGTCGGGATTACTCAAGTACAATATGATATTTTTCCAGTGTAACCTTATCTCAAGATGAATAAAAACAAAAAGATAAATTTAGTACCATTGTCCTGTTCTGTTTGCAGATAATTTTGCTTATTTTTAGTTATATGTCCCACATTTTATTGTCTTATTTTTTCTTGTTTGTGAGAGCCGAGTGTTTTCAACAGCACACTTGCAAACACTAAAATAAACTAAACTATAAAAACCCAATTACATGGAAGGAGGCACTAGAACCATAATATAAATGTTTATTTTTATTTTGCTTCCTTATTTCCTAGCAATGCACTGTATTCTGCATGTACAATGGAATTTAGAGATAGACCCAGGGGGAAGGTGTTAGGTCAGGGAGCGATCAAAGTTGCAGGTGTATGTTTTCTGTTGCACTGCTGTATCGTTTACTGTCTCAGTCATAATGGTGTGACTGTATTGTGACCAAATATTAATGCCCTGGTCCATATATGTTCATGTTTTGTTACTGATGGATGTTACTTGTTAAAGAACACCTACAAACCTTGTGGAAAATAAATTAAAAAGTTGATCACAAAAATGACACAGACATACCGACTGCTGAATCAAAACATAATTCTCAGGGGAAAACCTGCTCGTCTTTATAAGTTTACAGGATAAATAAACATGTCAGTGTTCTCCTGTGGACACACTCTTTCTAAATGACCTCAAACATATATAATTTCTCTACTGAGCGCTCTTGTTACTTATGTTTCAGTCAGACTGTAGTAAAAAACCTCCTACAGTTATCTGACTGGCTCCCTGCCCACAGCCACATGCTGGCATAAGCAGTTTACACAGGCAAATGCTGCACAACGATAGCAGAGAGAAAAATAAATTAAGAAAAAAGACATAATGCAGTAAAATGTGCCACTCGCAGCAGCAGAAGCACTCTCCATGTTGTTAATACATTATGTTTTTTCACCTACAGACCACCGTTCACTTACTGTCACCAAGCATTGATCTACACGCTAATCAAGCCCCTTGGCTAGGAGTGTGTGTATGTGTGTGTGTGTGTTAATATTTTTAATAAAAGGAAATGCTCTGCAAAGAAAAAAAATCAAGAGTTAAAGTTAAAAAACCTTCTTCAAGTTAACTTTGAACTGTCAGCTTGATGAATTCATTTAACCAAATCCAAACTCATCTACCAGAGGGGATTGTAAAATACCATACGTATACCTGGAACACTGTTCCCACAGAACAAAGGAACATCCCATGTCTCAACTGATTCTCCAAATCTATAAATCAAAGGTTATGACTAATCAAACATGCTGTCATAATCTGCTGAAGTGGTTTTGTCTGTGCATATGCATCAACCTGTCAGGGACTGCAGATTCAAATAAGCCTGTATGGCTAAATCTGGCACTTTTACACAATAGGCCGAAGTGCTCATGTCAGTTAAAGGTCCAGCATGTAAGAAATAGAATATAATATTCATAGGTATGTTTTCATGTGTATAATTACCTGAAAATAAGAATGGTTGTGTTTTTGTTACCTTAGAATGAGCGGTTTTTGTCTACAGAGGCTGTGGGTCGCCTTACATGGAAGCTGCCACATGGAAACCGCTCTAGATTGGGTCGTTCGTGTTTTTTGCGCCCATTGTAATTTTTCCCTTGCACTTTGAAAAGGAGCGTGAATGGGTACCTTTTGTCGACCATACGCAGTGTTACTGTCTACTGACTTTGACTAGCATAAGGTGAGCTCTCTGGCTCATACCTGAGCTTAAGGGCATTATGAGTGGAGGGCACTAGAAATCTCCCATAACTAAGTTGTATCTAAATGTCCTATTTACTGGAGTCGTGAACAACATTTCCATTGCATTAGAATCTTATTGGATGGTAATAATTGTTCCAGGTATTAGTCAAACCCTCTGGAAACTAAGGAAAACTGAGTTATGGCTTGCAAAATGCAAGAAAATATATATTATTATTTATTTATTTTTA